GAAAGGAGGAGAGGGGGGTCTTGCAATTTCATTTAAAATGTAATGGTGGATGAACCGATAAGCAAATAGGGGGAAAAAAAGGCTCTGCTTAAAAGAAAAAAAAAAAAAAAGGCATGCTTTTAATATGCTTCCAGATGGGGGGAAAATGATTTACATGGGAGTTTATTTCCTCTTTGCTGATATGAAAGAATTACAGATACAAAACCCACTGATCTATAGAATAAAAAAAAAAAAGAAAAGAAATGTTATTTTCCTGTAAAGGTATCAGTTCATTTATATTCATTTAACCATCCATCCATCAATTCACTTTCTCACTCCCTGCACATTCTCTCTGCCTCTGGTAAACCTACCCCACCAATATACTTTTCTGGAATATACAATGAAGTTTCCTTAAAAAAAAAAGAAATTATATGAGATTCAGCTGAAGTAGGTAAAGTGAAGTTTCCCTTCTCCTCCTCTCCCCAGCTCCTCTTTTATGTTCCAGACTTTGAGTAATTAGCAATGTGAAAAAAGAAAATGGTTTAGGTGGGAAAAAAAATGTCTATCTATATCTATAAATAATATATGCAGTATAGGTGTTAGAGATGTGTCTATATGTATATATACAATATATAGAGAGCAGGTTTTGTGTGCTCAACATGTATGTGCTGCATCCCTGTGCTTGTGTGATACCAACAGTTCATTCTCTGCCTCTGAAATAAAACACACAGATACTGTACAGCTATTTACAGCATTCATATATCCATGGCCCCAGATTTAACCACCCACCCAGCTTGCGTATGCTGCAGATATGCACGATATATGTGATACCCGAGCACTGAATTGGAGCAGAACATCTGGGTTTAAATAGAAAATATTTCCCTAAATTGCCAGCACGTGTCCTTTGGGAGGGCTGGGGTGCCTGTGGTGCCCATATTTTGGTGCTCCCTGGCACAAAGCACAGGGCACAGCTCAGCCCGGCGGCCTCTGACCTCCCAAACCCGAAGGCCACCAAAGCTGGATTTGTTTGCATTTTGAATGGTACCTGGAGCTGAGATCCAAATTCCCTTGCAGGAGAGCGGCCAGAGAGCAAACCTAAACCTCTCCCCTGACACCTCCAAGTGCCAAACCAGCCCCACCTGGCTGAGCTCTTCCCGTGGCTCTGCCTGGCGTGAGGTGGGGACAGGCGTGACCTCCTTCTCCCTGTGCTACAGCCCTTCCTCACAGGAATGGCTCCAGGGAGGAAGAGCTGTCCCTTCCTCACAGGAATGGCTCCAGGAGAAAGAGCCTTGTGCCCAAAGACAGAGGCTGCCAAACCATCCGTCATTTCCTGGACACCTTCGCCAATGCCGGGAGTGGAGGGATGCGGAAAAACTTATTTTTCTGCTTTAAATGCAGCGGCAAGAGCTATGTAAGAAGTTGCTTTTTTTTCTTGTTAAAAGCAGGTAAATAGAGAGACAGACAGATTTGGAAATGCCTCGCTATATACAGATAAAAATATACGTCTTTATCTCCAGCCAGATACGGATATAGATCCACACAGAATTTTCCTGGCGGTGGCTCTTAAAGAGCTCCAAGCTGGTCCTTGTGGGGTCTTCACCAGCCTTTCCCAAAACTCCCTGTGTAAATACAGGCACCAGGCAATGCCCCCCAGGTCAAGGAGGCTGGTGGGTGCCTGCCCGGCACAGAGCCCACGCTGCACATCAAAGGCTGGAGTTCCCCGCTCCGTGTTGGAAGTGACACCTGCAGATGTTCCCCTGCCTCGTGTTTGCAACCCAGACCTGAACAAATACATAATCACATCACATAGCATAATTAATAGTGCTATCACCATGAAGGACTCTTAAAGGGAAGGCTGTTGAAAGAGAGTTCCTGAAGATAATCCTTTTAAAAGGTTTCCTTAAAATGCAACCACTAGTGGGAATAAGGCAGGTTTAGTTCCAACATCTTAATACCTCTGCAGAGCAGAGTTTTAGATCTTGTAAATGTCTTTCCTTTAATAGCGGCTTGACTTTTGATTTGGGACTTGCACTTTTTGGAGGATCTCGCTGCTGTTGTGGTTCTCAAGAGAGAAGGTCCTTGAGGAGGCCCAGCCTGGCTCAGTTGATCTGTCAGGGACTGATAACCTCCTTCCTGCTGGAATTCCAACGTGGTCCCATCCAGTTTGGGCTGGTGTCCTGCGCTTGTGCCTAATGATCCATTTGAACAATTTTCAGGTGCTGCTTAATTTGTTTTTTTCTCCTTCTGGATGACACCCCAGCTCCTGGGCATGGGGTTCAGCTGCTCCCCAGCTCTTTCCTTAGCTCTGTCTCCTGACTCCTCCACTGTGCTCAGAGTATTCCTGCGTGGTGTTGGTGAGTAAATCACTTTATTTTGGCTTTCCCAAATGATGTCTGTGTGAAATGAACAGAGCTACACAGTGATCTGCATGTCCAGGGGATAAATGTGCACCTGAGTGAGCTCTGCTCCCTCAACCCTTCTTCCTCAGCCTCCCATCCCAGGAACTCTTCCCATGGTTATTTGGCATCCTCTCATTTCTCAGGTTTTGCATGGAGAGGGCAAAGCTTGAGGAACTGGGACCACCTGGTGGAGCAGACCCCTGGTAGGAGACCCTGGGAGCAGCCAGGTCCTGCCTTTTGCTGTCACTGCTTTGCTGGAGCTCCGAGCCAGGATCCAGCCTCCTGGTTTTCAGCAGGAAAAGTTTAGATTTGTGAAAATACTGTCAAATTGGCATGGAAATAATTGAGGGCCTCTGGAGTAAAGGGATGATGGGCACCTCCTCCAAAGAGCAATAACTAAAAATCCAAAATAAAAATGAAATTCAGTTAAATCAGATACTTTTACTTTGTCTTACAGCTGTGGACAGTCCTTTAGACTACCCCAGTGTGAATTTCTGGGTCGGTGGCAGGTTTGGTGTCCAATCTCTCTAACCCCACAAGGGTTTTGGAAAACCAGGGATCTCCATTCCCAGGGAAATGAGGACTCAGCTGTTGTATTGTGGTGCTGTGTGTAGGGAATGGCATTTTGCAGGCAACAGGAGATCTTTGCTGTGCCCTGGCTGTTGTCCCCTCTCTCGGAGGGTGGCACTGCTGCTGTTTGCCCAGCCTGGTCAGAGGTGGTGCCACCAGAGCTCAGCCCCTCCCTGCGAGTGACAATGGTGAAACATTTTGGGAGTCCCTGGAGAGCAGGGTCGGCTCGCTGGTGGCTCAAATATTTTTGGTTCTTTTGGCTTTGAAATAAATGTGTGAGACAGAAAATGTGCTGCTGCCACTTGTCACCCGCCAGCACTGGGGATGGCACCAGTGGCACCGCTTGGCCAGCAGGGATGGGGAGGCTGAGGGGCTGCTATATCTGAGGTCACTGGGGTGGCACAGAAGGCCATGCCCATCCATGGTGTTGGCAAGGAGCTCAGGGCTCATATCCCCCATCAGGGATGCGCTCCGTGGTGGTGGCCCCAGGGCCCACTGTCCCCCTCCCTGACAAAGCTTTGCAAACCAACACTCTGGTTTAAACCCTGCTCCTTGCTTGCCCAAGTTGTATTTTTCCTGGTTTATCTTTTGGCTGCAGCATCCAGGTATTTTTCCTTAGCAAGGTAAGAGCCCTTTGATTTAGAGTGTTTAATTGCTTCTAATTTCTCCAAATTTCCGTGTAGGCATTTTAATGTTTGCCTCCTTCCTTCCCTGTGAGCTATTAGCGTGAGTCGGTTTCTTTCCTGACATAGACAAGGGTTTTTCCCCTCTCCTCCTACTCCTTCCAGCCCTACTTACACGGGAATTCCCCCAGCAGGCACTGAAAGAAGAAAGGGAATTAGATCTTTATCAGAGCCTTACTTTCACCCAAGATTTCCTTAGATCAGGGAGTTAAATAGAGGCCAACAAATGCTTTCTCTCCTACCTAGAAATCACCCTCCTGCAGCCAAAAGCATTCCCTCTCCTCCTTTGGAGGCAAACCAGAAGCTGGTGTGACTGTGTGTCCTTCTTTCAGGCATACCATTGTCAGTCCCCTGTCATGGCTGGATTTCATGGGTTCTCTCTTTGCCCAACAAGTGCCAGGCAAAACAAGAACTACATTCTAGTAGAAAACAAAAAAAACTGTAGAAAAATAGAGAAAAAGAAAATTAAATCCCAGCGCTGCTTCGAATCCCTGCCAACTTTCCAGGCCTTCGCAACTCAGCCAAAAACAAGGCCACAAACCCATTTTTCCTCATTTGCAGGTCACCTTGAAGGGTAGATGAGAAGCTTTTTCAATAGCGTTTCTTTCAAGGGGATTTCAGTTAGAAAAGCAGCAATGATTGAAATTCCCTGTTTCCTTGCAGACCCTCAGGTTTTCCTGGAGGATATAAAAACACCCTGGCAACTCCCAATTGTGGATTCTCGCTCTGCTGCGGTGACATTGCCTGACTCGAGGGACTACAGAGGTTTGGCACAAACATGCTTTAACATAATTTTTTAATCACCTCTTGGCCTCCCAGCCCACACATTCCTCTTCAAATAGCAGCAGAACTGGAGGAGATGCCTACAGAAAAATGGGACAACATCCGCTTCCCACTCAAACGCAGTTCCTCCGTGGGCTCTCCGTGATGTCCTGGTGAAAAGCACCTTCCCAGCTCAGCAGACAAGCATCAAAAACCTTGGAAAGGAGGCGAAAATTAGAATAACGAGGAGAATGCCCTGATGCCTTCTCTCCTAGGGACAGGACTATGGCTACATGCTTAGTGGCATCACTGGCCTGTGCTGATTGTCCTCCTTCAGTGTGGAGCTGGATGGGGACAGGGCCCCACAGGTCCCTTCCCTTGCTGAGGCTTTGGGAACAGAAAGTGAAATTGTCCAGTTGATTTAGTTTAGTCCAAGTGCTTTTCCCAGCCTCAACTGATAAGTGAGGAGCAAATCTTCCTCTCCATGTGCACCCATGCATATGGATAGACACAGACACACACACATACGTGTGTATATAAATAAATCTCTTTAAATTTAAATAGATTTATGCCCAAGGACAGGAGGGTGGGTATGAGGTCATTACAGAGAAAGAAGGTGTAACACATCCATATGTTCTGTTGTGGGGATTAAATCTATAGCAGGTTGTATGCAGTGCTAATACTCCTATTAATTTCTATTTTTCATTGTTGTTTGCACATTTGTCAGGCTCCGATGAAGGGATAATGAAGCGAGTGGATGTTAACTGCAAATTAATCAGCCCTGTCTTGGAGTGTAACACAGGTTCCTGTTTGCTTCTCCTCTTCACCCAGGGACAATAACACACTTTCTGCATCCCCACCAGGAAAATCTCTTGGATGCTGTGACAGAGCAGAGAAAGGAAGAAAGAAAAAAGAAGAATGAGAGACGCTCTGGCTGAGAAAACTTCTAATTCTTCTTGAAATTGTCAAGTTTCTTTGAGCCGTAAGAAAGCTGAGGAAGCTGAGATCGTGCTAATTTTGCAAGAGGAGCTTGTTGGAAATGCTGTGCTGGCCATGGGCAGGTTGGACTTATTGTTTTCTTTAACTCCTGAAGTGTCAGATCCTTTTGAGAGTTTATTTTTTTAACTGGGATGTGTTTCTGCCCGTGGCAGGGGATTGGAATGAGATGACCTTTATGGTCCCTTCCAACCCAAGCCATTCTGTGAGTCCCTGACTCTGATTAACTGCTGCTGTGCATGAAGGATGGATGTATTCACAAATATTGGGGCTTTTTTATTGCAAATTGTCTTGCTTTAGTTTGGAGCTTGGTGTCTGTGAGCCTGGTCTGCTTGTGGTGTCTGGTGTGAGGCATGAAGTTCCCTGGTGCTGGAATCCCAATTCTCCAGGTCTTTTGGGAAAGATGGGAGTGGAAACTGAGGCAGAGCCAGTCCCCAGCCCCAGGAATGCATCCCTTCATGGATATACACTCAGGGTACCCTGTCAGCAGCCCTTGGTGCTTTGAGCTTTTTGCAGTTTGGACTTGGAGCCAGGCAAAGGTGGGAATTTCTGCCTGGGTGTTGCGTTTGTGATGAATTTAATTCGGTTCTGTGCAGAGAGTGGAGTTTAACTGCCTGGCCTCATTTTGTGCTCAAGGAAGGAAGCAAGTGCAGATTTTGGATTGATCATTAATTGCTCACCCTCGTGATGATTACTTGGTGCTGGTTCTGGCACAAACCTAGATTTCCTTCTGGAAAACTTCCTTCCCCTTCCCCACATCTCAGGATGCAGCTCCTTGCAGCCGAGTCCATCCCTGCTGTGGCAGCCTGGGAGCCTCCTGTTCCCTGCAGCAGCACCAGCACCAAGACCTGATCCTCATTTCTTGGATATTAATGTCCCACCCTGCCCAGCTCCCAGGGTGCTGGGATGGCATCCATAGATCATTTACCTTTCCAGGGAAGGAAATACTTGGTCAGACCGAAATCACCATCGATAAATTCATGTAGCTGTAGCAGCTCTCCTCCTGTTCAGGGCACACACTAGCCCCAGTAAGTGGGTGTGTGCCTCATAAATACAGAAAACTTTCTGTGCTCCTAAAGATGGGCATTTCATCGATAAATTCATACTGCCCAGGGCAAGTGGCACTCCAGGCCCATCTCCAGAATAATTAGGGAATGCTGCAAGATTGAAATGTGTTGCTGTTTATTGGAGAAGAGGCATTGTAGATGATTTGGGCATTCCTAAAAGGGATTTCTCACAGCCTTTGTCCCTTCCTTTTATCACCTTCCTTGTTCCAGTCCTTGGCACAATCCTCTTTCTTTTATTCATCAAACACTTGATCAATTGATCAATTAATCACCTGGTTGACCCAGATTTTTTACGTATCTGCCCCAACTTTTTTTTTTTGTCTTTCCAACCTAGATTTGTCACCAGTCTTTCCCTTTTGAAATGCAAGGTTTTGATAACAAGGTGTTCCCCCACTATACCCCATCATTGTCTTTCCACATATCTCCCAGGATATTGTCTTTCCTGTGATCTCTGTGCTTTATTTGGAGGCACTGTGTGACAGCTTTCTGCAAAGCTTTCCTGGAAAAGCAGCCAAACCTCACAGTTTACCCTGTGTTTGGGTCAGAAAATCTGTTTAGGCTCCATCCTCTGCACTTGGCTCATCGAGATTAAATCCAGAATTTTCTCATTGTCTCTTCCCCTCTTTTTCTTCCCTTCTTCCCTATGTCTTTCTCCTCCCGATGAGTGCAGAGAACACATTTTCTCACAAATGCTTAACTCTGCGGATTTCAAAAGGGATGGATTTTGTTCCTCATCCACCATCTCCACTCTGGGCTCTCCAAGCTGAAACATCTCCATTCATTTTGCGGGCCACGGGAAAAACAAAGTGGTGGAGAGGGATGTAAGTATCCTGGAATTCTCTTCTCTGGTGGCACAGTGTTGACCCGTGGCCACTTCTGGGGCTCTTGCATAATACTTTAAGCCTTGTATTTCTTTTATTTTGTGCCCAACCCAAGAATTCAGTTTTTAATAAGAAATCCCAGAAGTGCCTGTGAAGGATCCAGGCTCCCGCGCGTCACTGGCGCGGCGCAGACGTGGGAGCTCCCACCAGCTCCCGTGGTCCCATGGTCTCCATCTCCTGGGATTAATGAGGGTCCAGAGTAGTCCTTGCCTTCTCCTCCTGCAGAAGCGTGCAGTGGAACTCAGAACTGCCTCTGCCTCTTCAGGCATCTTCTCCACGGCATCACATGCGCGCGGATGCTGCTTGGAGAGCCTTGGAGAAGTGGGAGAAAGGCGAGGCAAGGATCTGCTTTCCTGGCCTTGCTGTCCCCTGGCTGGAGGAGCAGCAGGCTTTGGGTGCAGCTTACCCAGCCCAAAGTCTTGAGAAAGTCACCTGTTAAACCTGACTCCAGCTGTTTGTCCTCTGATGGTCTTGCACAAGTCCACGTCCTTGTGGGCTTTCAAGAGCTTGCCCAGAGAAACTGTGGCAGCTCCATCCTTGGAAATGTTCCAGGCTGGGTTGGACAGGGCTTGGAGCAACCTGGGATAGTGGAAAATGTCCCTGCTCATGGCAGGGGTGGAGTGAAATACTCACTGAGCTCCCTTCCACCCCAAGCCACTCATTGATCCAAACAGCAGAGACCTGTCTCTCCCCCCACGCCAGGGCTGGGATTTAAATGTTCTGTGCAAACTTCACTGGAGTTTAGGATACTAAATCACACAGACTTGTCTAAAAATAAAATACAGGCTCTGAAACGTCTCCAAGCAGTTAAGTTCATTTTTTGTGGCGAGATGTGAGATATTTCCAAATGGAATCAGGAGTGAAGGAAGCAGCCGGGCACATTTTAATTCTAATTTTTCCTATATATCAAGCGTTAAATTAACAAGTGAGGGAGAACCCTCCTGAAGAGCTATCTGTGGTTTAGACAGGCATATCAGGATAAAATTACTCTGGGCTTGCCTGTGGTTTGTCTGGAGCTGCACCAGTAAAGAGCAAAATTGCACTGCTCTTTGAGGCTCCGGGGTTGGTGCTGTGGATCCTCCCTTCTGACCACACCTGGGTTCCTTGCTGGTGCTAGGGAACCATTCCCTGGAGATGGTTTTCACCCAGGCAGGGGGCAGAGCTCCTCAGAAGGTGAAAAAAGGGGTGGAGGGCTCAGAAGAGAGACGTTTTATTTGTAATCATGAGGGTGGATGGCTCAAATAACAGAAGATTAGAGGATCACAGATTGGTTTGGGTTGGGGAGGACCTTAAAGCCCATCCATTCCCATTCCCTGCCACGGGCAGGGACACCTTCCACTATCCCAGGTGTTCCAAGCCTTGTCCAACCTGGCCTTGGTCACTGCCAGGGATGAGGCAGCCACAGCTGCTCTGGGCACCCTGTGCCAGGGCCTCTCCTCCCTCACAGGGAACAAATTCTTGTGTCTCTCTGACTGAAATTTCCCCTCTTTCAGTTTGATCCATCCCTCCTTGTCCTGTGACTCCAGTTCCTGATGAAGAATCCCTCTTCAGGTTCCTCCTAGTCCCTTCAGATTCTGGAGGGTGCTGTGAGGTCTCCGCACCTTTTCTCTAGACCGAACAGCCCCAGTGCTTGTTGTTTATCACCAATGTTAGATGGAGAGTGTATTTTGCTAAGAGAACAGATCAGCATTTTCTGATCTTCCCAGGAAATATTTGGCACTCAAAGGGGTGGTTTCTGCTTCTGAATGATCATTGCAACACACAAATTATTTCAGTATCATCCCACAGATTTAACTTTTCTTGTCTGTAGTGAGAATGAAGATTGCTGTCACTGACCTCAACTTGGAGTAATTCAGTTTAATATCAGAATGGTCTTCAAAATATTTTATTTGCTGCATGGTATTTAATTTGCTTTAGTGAGGTTTTTGGAGTCATTCACACCAACTCAGGTCACATCTGGGTGCGGCACAGCTGGACCACCCTCATGCACCTCAAATTCTCCTGGCCCTGACTAAAATAGTTGGGATTGACTTTCTCCAAAGCTCAGTTATGAAATGCTTCAGTGCACTGAACATGATTCTTTTTTTCCTCATTCTCAGTCCCAAGAGGACTGACTCCAGGTATCCCCACTCCATGAAATATTGTCTCTGCAGCCGGGGAAAGCAATCTCCTGAGGATGAACCTTGAAGCACAGGAACAGGTGATTTCTCAGCAACCTTTTGATATTGTCACACCTTCAGTCTTTTGGGGATTTATGGACTTTGCCAATACATGGGACTGACTCTGGACACTGAATGCCTAATTTTCTCCAAATTTACAATTATTCCCTTGGCACTTTTTGTGTCCTATAGCTGTGTGAGCAGTGTCATTATTCCCATTTCATGGATGGAAGGCTTGTGCTGCACAGAGATTCCTGGGAAGTGTTCTGCATTGTGACTTCTCCCTGCAACGCCAGTTTGGTGAGGAATGTGTGTTTCCTGATGGTTTTACCTTTTACTTCTCCTTGTTTTCTAGGTCTGGCTCCCTCAGGGTGGGTGTTTCAGAGATGTGACCCTTTTCCCCCTAGAGCAGAAGCAGGAAGAAGCAGTAGGAAGCTCCCCCTTTTTCAAGTCAGTGTATTTGGCCACAGTGATGGACCCTGAGGTTGTCCACATCCTTCCAGGAGTATTTCCAGGTGTCAAAATCCTGGCTCACTCTTTAGGAGGTGCCAGCTCATATTTAATATCCCCACAGAACTCTGAGTGGCCACGTGGACCTGGAGCTCAGGAGATCTTCCCCAGCCCACCAGACCTTCCTTGACTTCATTTATTCTTTGCTCACAGTTGCTTATGACTGAAAACATCACATAAGGAAAATGTCATCATTTTGACGTGGGGAAAACCACCCAGATTTTAATGGAAAATTTTCAAATTTCTATCAGTTTTAAAGAAGCAGCACTGCACATTTTTTATGGAGGTGTGTTGGGGCTGCCAGCTGCATTCCCCTAGGGAGGCTGCAGGGTTAAGGGGGAAGAAGCAACACAAGCCCCATCTTCTGGATCAATTAAAAGCTGAAACTAAAAACTAACCCAGCAAGAGGCGTGAGGGCACAGTGGTGCAAAAGGCAACCTTGCATTCCAAAGGTTGTTTTCCAGCCTATTCCTCCAAACCCCAACCCACTGGATGGTGTCCTACCAGTCCTTGTGTTCCTCTTTCTTCCCAGTAGGCTTACTCATATGCCCGAAGTGGCAGCAGCAGAAATTTTAGATTCCCTATCCCACTTTTTCCTGGCTATGGAGTTGATCCCTGACACATGTTAGGCTACAACAGCCCTGTATTTGCTGCAATACTGGGAAAGAGCAGCAGGAATCACAGCACTCCTGCTGAGGATGTTACAGATCCTGATCAGGGTTGCCAAAAAATTCCTGCCAGCGCAAATACTGAGTTTTACCCAGGCATCATCACTGACTGCCTCCATACCAACCCTGTGGACACATTTATGGCTGGTGTTAGGATGGTATTTTTAATCTCTTCCATGTTTTCCCAGGTCCTTGAGGCACCAGGAGATGACAGAGCTGCAGAGTCCCTTGAAAGAGCCATGGAAGCATGATGCAAACAGCCTCCTCTTCCTGCCTTTGGGAGTGCTCAGGCCTCAGGTGGATTTGTGTCCTCAGGGAGGTTCTGGCTCAGGGGAAGCATTGGAGGTACTTGGTTGGTTGTCTTGTACAGCTGTATTGCTGCACACTGACCTGTTGCTCCGTGCAAGCTGCTTCACACCAGCAACAGAGCAGTATGACATGGAATTGCTAATTTTTTTTGTCCATAAGACATGGAATTGCTATTTTTTGTCCCATCTCACACCTTTGCAGACTCCCAGAGCTCCCATTTGGACTCCAGAGTCCCACCAAGACCATGACAGAAATATTTAGGTGCTTTTCTAAAGCTGGGTTTAATAGTGTAAATGCTCTTTAATGCACAGCATTACAGACTGTCCCTTTCTCTCCCTTATGGAATGGCCTTCTGGAGGGATGGAATTCCAGCTCCCACCTCACCACACCACTATTGACAGGCATGGTTGGTACATTATTTAGGTAATTTGGCACTTGCCATATGGGAACCACCTGGACACCTGGCTGAACAAGTGCTTTATTAAGCTATACTATATAACATACTATACAAAACTATACTAAAGAAAAACCCCTGACCCTTACCAGACAGTCACAACACAGCTTTGACCTAATTGGTCCATCAATCCAAGCAACCATCACCAGAGTCCAATTAACAAATCCCTTCTTTGGTAAACACTCCCCAGAACACATTCCACATGTGCCAAACAACAGGAGCAGCAAGTAGAGATAAGAATTGTTTTCTCTTCTCTCTCTGAGCTTTCTCACTGCCTTCCCCAGGAAAAATCCTGGGACAGTTATGTTTCCTTCTGTTCAGAGAATGTGAATCACAGTGTGGTTCCTACAGCCTTTGGCTGTCCCAGCACACAACTCCAGCGGGAAGGAAGCTCAGCTGAAGGTGCTCTGTGACAGCCTCCGAGGGGATGTGGTCTGAGGCTCCTCCTGCTCTCAGAGGGCACTGGCAGCACTTGTGGAAAAGGAAAAGCCTGCAGAGCCTGTGTGAGGTGAGGGATTCATTCCCACTGCTCCAGGAAGCTCATCTAGGGAAGATTTCCTGCAGTATTGTAGGAGCCATAATGGGTCTTACAATAAGGCCAATGACTGTGCCTCTGTAGGAAGCCCAGGTGAGGAAGGCCGAGCTCCATGAGCACTCATCTTCCTCAGTGCTGCTGTCTGCACCAATTGCACTGCCTGCTGTGCTGAGGAGGCTCCTGGAGAGGCTCAATTAGGAGGCAGCAGCTGACGAGCTGCAGTGTGGGGACCTCAGGGAACCTTTCCCAGATTGGTGACAAGAGCCAGCCCTTGTGCCACTCTTGTCGCCTGCTGGTGTCAGAGTGCTCTGTGGAGTGCTGCTGCCCTTGCACAGATGAGCAAAGAGGGCTGTCTGCAGGGCCAGAGGTGGAGACGGGTTTGTGTGTCCTGGAGCAGGATCCCTGCCCTCTGCCTTTCCACAGGAGAGAGGGACAATTCCTGGCTGGAAAACAGCACAGCACCCCCAGCCCCTGAGGCCCAAAAGGCAGAGGTGAGTAAGATATGGGAATAACCTCCTGGAGGGATTTCAACACCCCTGCTGTCCCTGGGGACACTGACAGCACCTCCATCAATTCTCCTGGGAGCTGTCCACCCCTTTGCCTTCACTCCATCAGTTCTCTGGGAAATTCCCCATCTCCCACCTGTTTTCTGCTTCTCTTTGCAGTGAGGGGCTGCAGCTCCTTCCAGCACAGGACCTCCACCTGGGCATGGCTGCTCTGCTTCCCTGCTGGGATTCAGCAGCACTTTTCCAGCTCCATGGATCATTTATCCCAGATCTCCACCCTTCCAGAAGTACTGGAAGCTCTGCTGCTGTCTCCCAGGGGGTTCTCTTGGGGTCCTGGCTCTCTCAAAAACCAGAAGAGGTGGCCCATGGCAGATGGACTCCACCTGTCCTGCCAAGGCCAGCAGCTTCTGGGTGTTGGTAGCCTGAGGATGCCTTGTCCAAGTGGAAAGTGTCTTCTGCATTCAGGAGCTGCAAGATATAAACTCCAAAGCAGGAATTGTGGTTCAGTGTAAATCAACCCTGCTGCTGTTCTGTATCTGTCTGTTCTCCTGTCACACAATGTCTGTGCTTTTCTGCTTCCAGTGTGGTGCTGCAGAGGTTCCAGTTGAAGCTCAGAGCACATGAATTCCAAAAGCTGTCCCAGGGAAAGCTCCTGTGAACTCCTGGAGAGGGGGTCAGAGAGGACACAGCAGATTCTGGATGTCACAAGAGCAGCAGAGAAGCAGAACATCCCCTCAGGGTGTCTGTGGCTGTGCCCCTCTGAAGTGACAGTGCTGGTGCTGTGCCTGCCACCAAACTTCACCAGCCTGGGCATCCAGGCACCAAAAATTTCTGCAGCACCAAAGTCACCCAAAGCCCTGCAGGGGTTTTGAGAGAGGCTGCTGATAGGGAGATTTCTGCCTGATGGGAGACAGAACAGTGATTTCATGGCTTTTTTGGGGCTCTGTGGTGTCTTGTAATGAGAAGATGCTCACAATTCTTGCCTGTTCTCTCAGCTTGCAGCATGGGGGGATGGAGGCTGGGGGAAAACTGATGGGAAAATGTTTGCAAGCCTAACTACAGAGTGAGGCCTCTCTGATGGAGGATTTAATCTGCAGGACATGGTTATCTCTGCTAGGTCTTCTGTATCTTAGCTACTCAATAAATGATTGCTAAAGTAATTCAGCATTCTCCTCTCAATCAGAAAACACAGCCCTGTGTCAACTACCCAATCACGCTCTCATTCAGCAAACAGAACCTAGGCAGGGCAGGCCCATGGGTGAGGAAACTCTCAAAACACGCCTGAAATGCAGGCCTGGAGCTTGAAAAGGAGATGGGAACACTCTGTGGGCCAGAGCTTGTGGGAATGAGGTAAGGAAGAACTGCAGAAAGCCATCCACAGGGAAATTACACCAGAATTGCTTAGGATGGCAGCCAGGTGTTGCAATGCTCAGCTATGCCATGAAACATTTCCCTAACTTGACACTGCCGAAAAAATCCTGGTTTTCTGTCTCTCCGTGCCCCGGGGCACCTCCTTGTGCCCTGCATTCTGCCTGTGAAGCACCAATATTCACGGAAGAGCTTCCCTTCAGCACTGACACTCAGCACCCTCCACCAAGGCACACTGGTCTTTCCATTGTCTCCATCCCTCTTCTGGTGTCCCTCCTGTGATGGATCTCCGGGATCCTTCCCCTCCAGCCCTGTGTGTGCCTCCTCTGTGCTGCATTCCCAGTAATCCCAGCCTGAAATTCCGGCTGTGTGGGGCTGTGCCCCCTCTCCAGTGGACGCAGCCCTGTGTTGTGATGCCCCTTTGAAAGATTTTTCCAGCCTCATTTTCTCTCAGAGGAGTGAGTTTGGGCACTGGAATTGGATGTCCCAGGCTGAGCTGCACTGTGTTCCCCTGGGATATGAGTGCAGCTTTGCCCCCTGCTCCCTGTGGGGTGAAACTCGTCCCCCTGTATGTAGCATTTCCACTCTGCCTCTTCAGCCCTGGGTCAGCTTTAATACAGTCTGTGAGAAAGGCTTAAAACAGCAAGGTTTGAGATTGAATTATGGTCTAATCTGCCACTAATAGAACCTGACCAGCTCCATTATTCACTGTCAAATCACTGCATTTGCTATTAAAACACAGTGTGAACTTCCCTAATTTCTGTCGGGTTAGGACCATATCCATCATCCTCGCCTGAACCGACACCAGGGTAGTGCAGATAACACAGACAAATTTAATGTGGTTAATTCACCTTAGGAAGCTTGCTCCAGTGGTGCTGGGGAGGGAGGGGCTGGGCAGTCCTAGGAGGGAAAGGATGGATGAGAGCAAGCTGCAGTTTGACATTGCAGGGGGTGATGAAATTGCACAGGGCCTCTTTAGGATGGGGAGGCCTGAGTGGCCCTGGTGCTCTGACAGCCTGAGCTAAAGCCATGCTCAGAGGGAAGGGCACAGAGGAGGGACCAGTTCCTGTTCTGGGCCAGCAGAAAGGGAGCAGAGACCATAGCCACAGTCCCCACATGGGCACTTATACCACCTTTGCTGCAGCTGGCCCAACTTAGGGCTGCAGCCTCTTTTTTGTGGGCTGTGACCACTTTAGAAATCAGCTTGTGCTGTCTCCCAGGTGATGCCATCCTTGGGAAGGCAGAGGTGGGATCAAACTCTTTGCCTCTCTCCCTGGCTGGCATCAAACATCCACATGGTGGGCAGATAGTCCTTCAGGGTGAATTGAACTGCTTGTTTGCAGCATCCTAAATTGACCCTGGAAGTCCTCAGCAGACACCTGGAGAGTCAAACAAGGGCTGCCTAGCCTGGCTCAGCTGTGACTCATACCAAGATTTTGGATCTTATTTGCAGAGGTGGAAAGCAAGACTGAATTTCAGGGGCCAGCCAAAAACCTTTGACAGAGAAATATTCCCAGTGCCCTGGGTTTCCACAGCCCCCTAAACACCTCCCAGAGGGTTTGGGAGGGTTGTGCACACAAGCACCAGGCTTGCACACATAGATGCACTTAATGTATGCTTCCCAAGGGAAGGTGAAGAAGGGAGCAGAGAGGAGAGGCCAGGAAGCTGTGGGATCATTCCTGACTGCCATCTCCAAAGGAGCTCTGGTAAGGTGTAAAAAAAAAAAAAACAAACCCAGAGTGCCAGAGGGTTCAAGGTGTCACAGGTCAAAGGTGCTGTCACAGATGTGTCCCCACAGTAATTAGGAACATGCTAGGAGCTTCCAAGTCTCATGGGACAGGAAGCAGCACATGCCAGCCCTCCTGTGTGTGTGCAGCTCAATCAATAGGGGATCACACACCATTGCACTGGGAAAGGATCTTCCTGAAACTGTGGGAAAGGCCCTGCTTGTCCTGTAGGAGCCAGGGCAGAGCCTCTGCTTAGAGCTGCCTCTCCTGTGCACCCTCAGGAAAGCCCAGGCCACCAGGGCCTGGAGGGCTACAGGACAAAGCTGCTGTGGTGGGGGGGGGATCTGTGCTCAGTTGTGCAGCTTCCAGTCCTGCAGGCACACACCTGAGGCTGCCTGAAGGGGAAACTGTGGAGGAAGGGATAGCACAGGGTCTCTGCCCTTCGTCCACATCATCTGCCAAGTGGTGACACTGAACTGGAACTTGTGATGCTTCCTAAAGACAACCTTGACAGCTCCTCCTGAACATCGTGTGGGGTTGGCTCAGGCACGGACTCCAGAGTTACTGGGATAAGGAAGGCAGGCAAACCCCACACTCCTCTACCAGAGCCTTGGGACTCTAAAACTGTGATGGACTGGCATGGACAGACCTGGCACTGCTCTGCCCGTGCCCAGTAGGGAGCCACAGGGGCCGTGTGACACTCTATTCACAATTCCTTCCGCTTTTCAGGAGAGCAAGGAAGGTGAAATTTCCATCCAATTTGTCAGCCCAAAGTCTGATCCTGGTGGCATGAGGTGATCTATGCCACAATATATGAGGTAATTCCAGTGGAACAGGAGCTCAAAAGAAAGGTTTCTCCTTCTCCAGTGTCTCCAGCCTTCACTCACTTTGTCTCTTCTGGGTCGTCCTCTCCGAGGTCTTTCATTGTAAGCACTTCAGTGTGGGCAGGGGAATGGCTTCTTTCCAGGGGCTAAGGGAATCATTCTTGATGGTGCATCTAACTAGGGAAAAGAAAGGACTGAGGTCAACATGAAATCATAGAATTGTTGTCATATAGTGCAAGAGTTCTATTATTACATTGCAAGGGTTCCATACTTGTAGAGTTTTGTACCTCCTTGATGTTTCTTGCAGGCATCTCCTCTAGGCATTAACTCTTCCTTGTTCTCACAGCAGCCAACTGACTCCAGTTCCCTCAACCAACCAATCCACTCTTTTATAACACTCTTCTTATTGGCTACAGCTGTGGCCTGTTAACATCAGGCCTGCTCCTAATCTTTAATTATTGCTTCAGCTGCAACTCTTTAGAGGGTAAGATTACTTTTTAAACTACCTTTATTTACTTCTGTTCTATCCCCCTACATAGAATGCTGAAATGGCCTGGGTTGGAAGGACCTTACAGCTCATCCAGCTCATCCCTGCCACAGGTGGGCAGGGACACCCAGGTTATGAAGGAATCTGACTGCCAGAACCTGTTTGGAGGGAACTACCCAAGTTTTTCCTGGGCTGTGCAGGGGGACTGAGCTGGGGAGGATCCCTCCCCTCCTGCAGCACCATCCATGAGTATTTGTGAAATCCGCTGGACACAGCGTGGGTTTGTGGCTGCAGATAATTCTGGTGACAGATTTCCATTTGCTCATTTGGAGATGAGCAGTGCTCACTGTCTTTGCCTCCCCCTGTATCCATCTCAATTAAAAGGCACCATTGGAGATGTTTTTGTGAGCAGCCATGGAGCTGTGTGTGGGATGGGCGCGCGGCGATGTCTGCGCTGCTCAATTATTCATTCCCCATTTCTGCATATACAAAAGGTTAATCCAGGAGGCGCCTGCCACACAAGGAAAGCAGCTCTTTGGAGACAGCTCCATATTATTATTATTTTTTTTTTTCTGGTGGTTTTTCAAGCATTATCTCTCCTCTCTTTCTCCTCGTGCGGGGGGTGCGGGGAAAGGTGCATGGAGGATAATGAAGAGCTTCCTCTCCCCTGGCAGACAGCTTGAGGAGAAACTTGATGTGCTTGGTGAGGGCAGGATGGATGATGAGTCATTACAATTTTGGACTTTGAGTCCTCCACATCTCTAGTTCTCACCTTCACCAAGCTTTCCTTACCAGGGGATAAATTCTGGGACTTCTGCCTCCCTCTTGTCACACTCCCACAAATGCCCCCATGGCCTCATCCCTTAGCATTCCATGAAATGCTGCTACCCAAGGATATGGAGGAAGAAACTTCTGCTTTTGCAGTGAGACCAGGCAACAAAACAAGGCAGGAGGCAGCGTGGCATGGCCAGTGCTGCACCATCCTGGGAGGGAAGGCTCCAGAGCTATGTCTTCAGCAAACATTGCCATGGAAAGTGCACCTTTCCATCAGAGCAGCTTGTGAGAGAGGCTTGCAGAGCTCTTCACGTGTTTTTCCTCAGCATCCAGAGGCTCTGCCCTGCTTCTGTTGGAGAACTCTGATGGGAGCTCTGTAGAAGCCCCAACCACCTCCTCATGGCCTTGCTCTGCTATGTTTTTGTGCCTGGGGCTCAGGACAAGCTCCCTGTGCTGCTCTGAGCTGCCAGGACCTGCAGCTGGGTTGAGATTTGGAGGGGAATCAGAGCCAGGAAGGGCTTGTGCCTCACCCTGGGGCTCATGGGGAGCTGAAAGGACACAGCCAGGCAGGTGTGACCCCAGCCACCCACAGCCACACCTTCTCTGATGACCACTGCAGACTACTGGGTGACCCCCAGTTCTTCCATTATTCATTCTGTTGGGCTGATCTCGTTCCTGGAGCTGTTGGAAAGGTCAGCTCCGTATTAAGGTGCTGAATGGGAAGGTGCCATGGACTGGAAATTGAGCCTGTCACACCAGAGTGACTCTCATGGACGCTGTTTGATTTGCCATTAATATTAATTGTGGCTTTTGAGGGACACTCACAAAGATTCGCCACACAGTAACTGTCCCCAGCAGTGTTTGCCTTTGGAAAAACATAAATACTGCACAGAAGTTGTTCTGAAAGGGCTGAACTTCCTCCTGCAATGGGGCACAGAGGTGAACAAAGAAGGCTCAGGTGAAAT